TGGGGCAGTGAATTAAGAATATTGCAAAAGATGTCCTTGGAGTTACAAAGGGAAAAGCTTCATAATAAGTAAAAAGTAGTTGGTGGTGGAATCCAAATGTGTAAGAAAAGATTAGAAATAAGAACCTTTGTTATAAAAATTGATTTATTTTAAAAATTATGATAATTGGAACTATATAAAGTGGCTCGTAAGGATCTAAGAAGCAATATGCGATGCAAAGACATTAGCTTTTAGTGATTTATATAATATATTTATATACTAAAGACGGAGAAATATTATAAGTTAATATCAACAAAGAGATAGGGAGTAGTAAGGATTTAGTTCAATTGAAGTTGTTATTAAGAGAAGGATAAATAAAAATACTTTTTTAGAAGAATGATATTCAACAAAGGATGGACTGGATATTTGCTAAACTTTTTAATGAAGATTGTGAAAAAAGATGACCTATACGTGACCTTGGCACCTTCTGAAAGTGAAAAATAAAAATTTCTGTTTTTATCGGCGTATAGTAAAAACTTGAAGTTAGAGAGGCTTTAAAGAAAATGAAGAAGGTTGGGAAAGCTGGTGGAACTCTGATGATATTCAATAGAGGTGGGAAATGCTTAGGAGATGAAGGAATGTTCATGGCTTAACTAAACTTTTATACTATTTTGAAGACTAAGATGCCAGAATGAAGTGGAGGAATGAGTGTTGTTAATTCTTATTTTTAAGAATTAAAATGTGATGCACTAGATTGTGCGAATTATAGAGTATATTAATTGTCATACTTTAAAATTTGGAGGCGAGTTAATGGAGCATTAGTTGCGGCTCTGATACTAAAGTTTCTCTCAAAATTCCAATTTGGATTTCATGCCGGTTAGGTCGACTATGGAAGCCATCATTTATTAAGAAGGTTTGATTGAGAAATAAGAGAAAAATAAGGAGCATTTCTACATATGATTTTATTGATTAGAAAACAGCATATGATAAGTTCCAGAAGAAGTGCTGATGGAGAGTTCTTGAAAAGAAGGATCAATAATGGCTTATATCAAATCATTAAATATGTATGCAGGAGCTTTATTTTGTTTCAAACACAAGGTGATCTGGCCAGTATTCCCTATTTCGGTTGGGTTAATCAAGATCCAGCTTAAGCCATATCTTTTGCTTAGTCTCGATGTTCTCACTAGACATTTGCCAAAGAGATGTGACTTGGTTATACTTTTTGCTGATGAATGCTTGCTTGTTATAAGACTAGAGAGTTACGCTGAAGGTAAACCTTGAATTTGGAGTCCAACTTAGAGTCTAAAAGTTTTCCCGATTGAGTAATCTAAAACGGAATATGGAGTGTAATTAGTAGTAAAAGACTATGGTGAGTGGGATTGTGATTTTGGCATCAAGTCATCTAACTAAGAGTACACATTTTAGATATCTTGGATTATTGTTCAGAAGTGATGGTCGGAAATGGATGGTGTACAGGCAGAATTCAGTTGGGTGTTTGAAGTGGAGGAATGCATCAGGCTTGTATGTGATAGGAAAATGTACCCTAAACTAAGGGAAAATTCTATAGAGATGTAGTTGAGGGCCTGCAATGCTTATGGTGCCGAAGTTGGCCATTAAAGAGAAGCATAATACAGTTTAAGTGTGGCAGAGATAGATGCTCAGGTGGATGAAGGTTACCCTTAGAGATGAGAAATGAACATATACGTGAAATGGTTGGAGTCGCTGCATAGTGAAGATAGATTAGAGAGAGTCGCCTAATGGTTTGGTTCATAAAACGACGGCCTTTCCGATGACTCCGGTTAGGAATAGAGAGATATTAGATTTGACATATGTTAAGAAAGGTAGGGGTAGACCAAAAAGAACTTCGTTAGAAATATTAGGATGACTTTCTATTAGATTAAACGAGAATTTGACTTTTAAATAGGACCCACTAATGGAGAAAAGCTTATGTAGCGACCACGTATTGGATAAGCTTGATGTTGTTGTTGTTGTTGTGTATTATTTATCATTATTACGTTCTTCTAATATAACTTCAATTTTAATATTGATACAGTGATTGATCATGTTTTCAAGTTGAATATTAATTTGATGGTGTCGAGTTTCATAATCCACCACATTTTTAAATCTTGGATTGCATCTCAAAATTCTAAAAAATTAGTCCTTTAGGCGCTGAAGCAACTGTTACGAAAGCTCCACGGATAGTGGAAAGTGTTTTTTTCCCATCATTGTTCTTCTTTAAATATAGATGGAGAGTATCTCTAGTTATTCTCTGACTAGAATTTAACTCTGTTTGACTTTTCAATTCATGAAAGTGGGCGAGAGGAAAATTTAATGGATTAATTATTATTTTTTGTGGATGCAGAGGATATCAGCATTCTGATCATGATTGAAGCTTGTATTGGTCATGTAACTTTCTAAAGACCCTCCCATGAATTGGCTTTAGAATCCATCTTCATAGAAGTGCCTAGATCTCCTTTTCATTGTGACAAAATTTTGTTTTCCGCAACCAACTTAAATTGGTTTATCACTTTGATTCTCAAATCGTCAACATCTGAAATACGGTAAATCATTCTTGCCCAGATTACTTTGAATTTGTTTCTCTTTTCTGCCTATTGACCCAATTCTTGAGGCTAATATGGTAGTGAACTGATGCATTGAACCTTGTCTTCCATTATTTTCAAGTGAAGAAAAGTCAATTTTTTCTTAAAAATTTGTCTTCAAAGCGAACAGAGGAATTCAGTATCTACTTTGATTGATGGGATGGACTACGAAGATTTTATTTCATTTATGATTCTTTGGGATTTAGCAAATCTTAACTTTCAACGGGTCCATGCCTCCATGAATCCCATAAAAACACTTTGCTGGATATCGGTCCGTAGAGTAAGGTGAAGTCAACAAGCTATCACTTCAAATTTGCCATACAACTGTAAGGTTTAGCTTGGTGGAGTGCTTAGCTACTTGGTGTTTTTTCATTTATTAATTACTATGTACTTTTATTTTAGTACGTTTTCAGGGGCTTTCTTAAATCTGTCTTCAATGCCCAGGCCTTAGCGGCAATGAAGTTTGTTCCGCCCCAGCAATATTCGTGAAGAAGAGGTCGGCTTTAACCATTTATTGAGCCGAGCTCTGAGTGCTAGTGTCCTTAAAAGACAATGTCATGCGTTCTATAGGGAAAATTCTGATGGAGTTTTAGCGGCTTTGATTGGACCTTTATATGATTGGAAGAGCCGATCGCCCTCACTCTTTGATAACTGATCAATTGATGTTTTATTTTGGTGGAATGAGGCGT